GCAGCCCACAACTCAGATTTTGGGCCTACTGTGCCACACCGAGCAGCCCGCCGGTCTGTACCGGTCCTTGGGAGGGTTCGTGTCCTCCGGGTCAGTCGAGTCGTCAAACACAACCTTTAGCCCTACTCAGCCCGTGTGGGTTTGGTCAACGAAGCTCTATCACCACATACAGAGTTCCTATCACCTAGACAGAAGAGACTCAATGCAGAAAGAAGAGACATATAGACTCAGCAAGTACCATGGGGTGAGTGCACATCTATAGGGCGAGGGGTTAGGCTGAAGGCTTGGCAAGAATATACCAACTCCAGCTTGGTCAATTTCGTGGTCAACAGTCCCGGTCAACGCTTGGTCAACTCGTCGGTCAACGCCTTGATCAAGGCCAGGCAGCTCGCCGATCAACACTCCGGTCAAAATCTTGGTCAACATTGGTCAACCCTTCGGTCAACACTTCAGTCAACCCTTGGTTCAGCTATGGCTGCCAACACCTTTCTTCCTTGCCAATCTTCCTTATCTTTCTTCTCCCTCCTTCCTTCTTTCTCTTTTTTCTCACTTCATCCCGTCTATGGCTTCCTTCGCTTTCGCCGCCCCTCCTTCCTTCTCCCTCGTCTATGGTTTCTCTCTCCTTCTTCTCTCCTCCCTTCTCCTTTGCTTCACCTTTCTCTCTCTTGGTAACCCTGTGTCCAAGCTCCGCGGCTATGGCCGCCTTCTCTCTTGGGTCGCACAACAATTTTGTATCGCTCCCCTCTCTCTCTCTCTCTCTCTCTCTCTCTCTCTCTCTCTCTCTCTCTCTCTCTCTCTCTCTCTCTCTCTCTCTCTCTCTTCGTCGTTGTCTCCTATGCAGGTACGCGGTACTTCACTCCGCAGCGCAGCTATGGCGGACTTCCCTCCTTCGGTGCACCTTGGCTATGGTGCCCACTGGCGCGAGTCTCCTTCCTGCCGGCAACAACGATGGCGCGTGGGGTAATGGGAACCAGCTCCGATACCAATGCAATCAGACTCGTTTTCTTTCCCACTTCGCACACATGCAAACAGATGGTGATTCACACTGGCGCACAGCGCCAACTCAAAGCTCAGAGATATGACAATCGAGAACACAGTTCAGATGTAAACTCGCTTCAATAAGCTATGGCGCATCAGCGCCTACACCGTCCAACTCTTGTCACTGCGCTCAACACCACTGTTCACCCGCACTCAACCCTATATATCCCTGAATACACCCACGCATGCTCACTCGATATCCCACACACACACACACACGCAGCTACCTCTACCCGCGGCGGCTATGGCCGCTCGTCTCTACCGCTATGGCTACAATCTCGCTCTTCAGCCCACTTCGTCTTCGGGCAACCTGCAGACCACCTTCGCACAAGTCACTGTAGCAGCACAGCGAATGAATGAATTGTTGGGCGCTGCTTTTGATTTATACTTCTGTTGCCGCTGGTCTGCCCCTTTCCACCAGGCCCTTGGTGCCCTCAGTCCCACACGGTACTTGCTTGACTGGACTGCGACTGACTGGGACTGGTACCGCTGACTGCATGGGGTTGTACTGCCGACTCGACGCAATCGCACTGCCGACTCAGTGCAGTTGGGGCTTACCACTTGCCCACTTGCCTCTGGCTAAATGTGAGACAACTTCCAAAGGCCACTTCCGAACCTTCCGGAAGTCTGTGGACTTGGCCTTTCGAATACTATAGCAGCTACAACCTTGACCTTTCAGAACATCTACAGCTACGACCTCTACAGAGTTGTGACCCCTACTCGACATATCTACAGATCGAACCCCTACAACTACACAGACCTACGACAGACATCACTCAACTACCAAAATACAGGTCACGGGTTCAAAGTTCAAACACTCGGGGTTCAACTCGATACTGTACATGGGCAAGGTAAGGTCTGGAGATCGAACTCTAGTGCCCAGATCTGTGACTGCAGAAAGGTGAAAACCGTTTCAGTTCTGGCTCCTTTTCCATTCTGCGGAGCATCAGTCCAGTTCCTATAGTGGAGAGCCCAAACTTTCTTTAGGCAGGGGAAAGAAAAAGGCAAAAGAAAGTATACGAAATTCAGTTTTGTAACTTTTGTTAACTTATTTATTTGTTTTCTTAGAAAAAGGATATCCATCAGGTTTTTTATTTCTGAACCAACAGCACTAGGTGAGTAGCATTCTGCCATTTTTTGAATTTTTCAGTCACCAGACAGACAGTTGCCCATGTTTACTCCCCTGGGCAAATAGAACTCTCCGACGCACACAAAAAAAAAAAAAA